CCAAAAAAAAAAAAAAAAAAAAAATCCAAAAAATCAGAAAACAAAACTATGTTATCATTGTTATGCAGAAAAATAAATTGAACAACTTTTGCCTCAGGGTCACATCAAAATTCTGTAGCAAATTTAAAATAAAAATTTTAATTGAAATTTATTTTTTATTTTTTATTTTTTTAATTCCTTTTTGGCCCGGCCGGGCAAGTGGACCCGGGCCAGTCTGGTAGCCTAGACACAACATATTTTTTTTCCGGAATTTTTTTATTTTTTTTATTTTTCATTTTTTTGTGCTGGGGCTGCCCGGAACCCTGCCCGGGGATCATGCCCGGCCGGGCACCTGGGCGTGTACCCGGGCATAAGTTGGGTGCCTGGGCGCTCAGAAAACAGCCTAGAAAAGTTCAAAAAACTCTAAAAATTGGAGGGTCTGTAGATTTGGTTGTCATCTTTGCAGAAAAATATTTAAAAACTTGAAAAAAAACTTCTTTCAACTTTGAAGTTTCAACCAGGAAATATTCCATGGTGGCAATTCATCGCATTTTCCATTGTTGCTGTTGTGCCAGTTCTCCACACTATGCTACCGGTAGCCTCATGAACCTGTGCTACCGGTTCCCCAAATTTCCAACGTAGGGTACAGTGGTGGTTTAAAGTTTAAACTCATGAAACAATGCCACAGTCACCTCTTAGACTTTCCTATGCATTTCCCACTGCAAAGAACAGTAAACATATCCAATATTGCGGCTTTTCACAACTTCCGTTCCCTGTTCCTATAATGGACACCGTTACACTCCCCAGAATGGAGAAGGATCCAGAGCCTTAAACCACCAGTACTTGGCCCAGCTATCAAGTCCGAGCCTTGGCCAACCGGTATGCCGAGCCTTGCCGAGAACTACCGGGCACTAGCTTCCCCTACCTGGTTGCAGAAAAACACGGAAAAGAGAAGACCAAAAAAAAAAAAAAAAAAAGAAACGCAAAAGCGCAACAAGAGAAATACGGGATATTCTACTTTAGGCAAAAAAAAGAAACAAAGAAAAAAAAAACAGTCCCTCTGCCACTCTTGAAATGTGCAAAATGAGAGTGAATCTTCCGCTAGAACATGGAAAGATACACGGCCATGGTTTTTGTCTTCACGAAATCTGTGGCACGACAGCCGGCGGGCTGCTTGGAGCACCCCGCACAGCCTGGCGACCGACTCTCTCTCTCTCTCTCTCTCTCTCTCTCTCTCTCTCTCTCTCTCTCTCTCTGTGTGTGTGTGTGTGTGTGTGTGTGTGTGTGTGCGTCGACGTGTGCACAGTAGCGAAAAATCATGGCGGTGTATCTTTCCATGTTTTAGCGGAAGATTCACTCTCGTTTTGCACATTTCGAGAGTAGTGGAGCGGCGCGGCTCTCTCTCTCTCTCTCGTGGTGAGTGTGTGTGTGAGAGAGAGAGAGAGAGAGAGAGAGAGAGAGGGATGTGAGGATTGAGCCCTCAAAGGGGCCTTGCCGTGGTGTACATGTTCTGGGCCAAGGCCCCCAGCAAGCATCGTGCCCGCCCTAAGTGAAGGCGGGCCAGCAAATGAACGAGAGCCCTCTGTTCAAACATTTCACGAAGTGGGGTCCATACAGTTGCCGCACGCCAGTTGGTTGGAGTGCACCAAGTACCGGATCTCTGCAAATGCAGAAGGACCAGGGCCCTTCCGAGTTGGTTAGGCCCTGGGCACATAATCGGAGGCACAACTGTACTGCGTGGGCCCCAACCACATTGGGCCTGGGTACAGGCACTGGGGCCCAGGCGCAGGCTCAAGGGAGGCCGCCCACACGCAGCACTGGGATATAGGCAGAGAGGGCGAGTGGGCAGGGATCTTGGCCATTGCGAGCAAGGCCGGCACGCTGCTGCATTGCGAGTGTGCCTGCGCTGCGCTAGGCTGAGTGAGGGCAGGCTGGCGCTAAGCGGTGGAGCGCAGCCTGGGCGCAGGGCGCTGGYGGSCATASCCGGGCTGCCTGTGGGCGCAGAGGAGGTGAAGGGCGAAGGTGGTTCTTCRGAGGTGAAGGGYGCTGTGTGGGATARCAAGGGAGAGTGAGGGAGAAGAGAGAGACGTACCTGGAGGAGAGGAGGTCGGCATTGGTGTTGACATCATCACTCGCTGGTCGTCAAGTTGTCTGGTTGCTTCCATGCTGTAGTTGTAGTAATAGGCTGTAGAGTAGGTAGGGCGCCTGGCGCCATTCAAGAGAGAGAGCTACATTGGGTTATGCTGTTGGTGTTGCCCGATTGGGCTTGGACATTGACTCACGATTCTTCTGTATCGTTCTCAAATGGATMGTTACTCGGTTCCATTGTGCTATCTGCTCTTGCTTTGACTACTTGGACTTAGTGTGATTTTGCAATCTGGATTTCTGTGCTTCGTCCACATTCATGTTCCTTGCACAGAGAGATAGATAGATAGATAGATAGATAGAGAGAGAGAGAGAGAGAGAGAGAGAGAGAGAGAGAGAGAGAGAGTGCCGCTCCACTACTCTCGAAATGTGCAAAACGAGAGTGAATCTTCCGCTAGAACATGGAAAGATACACCGCCATGATTATTGTCTTTTGTCACTGTGCATGTCGAGAG